ATAAAATATACATTTATAATAATAAATATAAATACAATGTATTATTATAGCAAAATGATATGCATTATAATTTTATATTATTATTATAGCAAATTTATATTTTATCATATTAATATCATTAATGATAATACTAATAGTGCATGTGTTGCTATTGTAGTTTATTTGTGTCAAATACTCCTAATTGCCCCTGTGGGACTTATCAGGGCTGCTGTGGCTGTCTGCAGTGTGGCAGAGCTTTCAGCGAGGGCCGCTCTCGAGGCCCCGCCTCTCTCTCTCTTTCTCTTTCCCGCTTCGTGCCGCCTGACCGACTCCCCACGTCCTCCACAGGTGTCGCCGGTCTTCCTCTTCCTCCCTCACCTGTCAGCCCCCGCCTCGCTCACATTCCCGAAGGGCTTCTGAGGGGACTGTGTCTTTGAAAGATAAAGAAAAACAAAGTCAAAAATATAGGACATCTGATGTCTCAAGGTCAGACTGCATGGTAAATTGTCTGATCTGAAAATAACAGCAGATAACGTTCAGGCAGACGTAAGTGAGGTGCCATTGAGGTTAATTTGTTTTGTCTGTGTTTTGGATAGCAGACAACTGTGGTCCTGTTTATGCCAGGCACCCGGTGAGTTAATTACTTTATCGTTGCATTAATTGAAACATGAAATATGTAAACATGCTAGTATAGCAGAGTCAGGTTATGTGTGTAATTTATTCTACTGTATGTGGGTTGATTTCTCTGAAACTGTGTGGTGCTTTCAAAACATTGGTTGTTTAAGCTTCTGCACCAGCCTGACACAGCAACAGTGACTCAACCAATGGTGTTTGGGGCAGGACTTTTGACCAATCTCTGACAGGTAGAATTTTTAGGAAAACTGTAATTATTTTTGCAGTTCCATTTCAGTGATGCCTAGTGACAACGAAATTACACACTGCACCTTTAAGGTAATTGTGAAGTTTGCCAAAATCTTTTATAATTAACTTTTTTTTTTTTTCAGTTTGATCATGTTCATGTTATAATGATAATAAAATAACCAGTGGGTACTAACATAACAAAGTTTTCTAAATCCTGGAACATAATACACTCACTTGTTTGCCCTTTTCTCTGGTATTGTTCATTTGGGGGTCACACTGGGGGGCGATTGGGCGATGCACCACCAGAGTGCGAAAGAGAGGGATTTGTTTTCTATCACAGCTGTCACTGTTCTAGACTGTTCTGCCTCTGGATATATAGTCCAATCAGCATCAAGTCATGTTCTGTGGAGTACTGCCCCTTTTTGGGCGATTTCTCTCTGACCGAGAATCGCCCAGAGTGTTCTCATAGACTTCCATACAAAGATTTTTTTTTTTTTTCGAACTGCAGGCACTGCAATGCAATCTCTATGAGTTCCGGGAGGGCTAGCACTAACGTAATTTCGCCATCATACGTAACCTTAACTTGTGCAGCGATTGGTGGGAACAAACATACATCTATAAATAAGAAATATGAAGTCAAGACTAGTCTGTATGGGCCGAATAAAGCAAACCAGTGAAGTTTAGATGGATGACGACTGTAATGGAGGTAAAGACGATTGCAGTGACATACAGGAGTTGTACATTATTAGACAGGCGCGTTATTATTAATGTGCAAATAAACAGACCGTGTATGTGCACTCTCTGATAGCTTATTGCACGAGCACATTTTAGTATTTTCGCATGTCTGGCAAATGTTTTATAAAGGACACTCGATGAAGAAGCGTGTTATTATAGGAGTTTGCGATGGTCAATGGTGTTTATATACATATGGGCATGAATACTCACTCTGACAGAGGATATGTTCACTGGTGATGTCGAGCTGCCTACAGATCACCATATTCGACAAATTCAGAATGTTTTTATTTACTTTTTAAATTTGTGTTTTGCTCTGTTTAATATTTCTGAATGGATCCGGTATATATCTATATACAGCCAGGTTAAAGGGATAGTTAACCCAAAAATGAAAATTAGCCCATAACTTACCCTCAGGGCATCCTAGGCATATCTGACATTCCTCTTTCAGACGAACACAATCGCAGTTATATTTAAAATTATCCTGGCTCTTCCAAGCTTTATAATGGCAGTGAATGGTGCCCCTGATTTTGAAGCCTAAAAACCTGCATCCATAAAACTACTCCACACGGCTCAGGGGTGTCAAAAAAAGGCCTTCTGAAGCGAAACGATGGGTTAGTGTAAAAAAAAAATATATATTTTTAAAAATGTATAAACTGTAATCTCCAGCTTCCAGTCGCTCAAGCAGGCAACTGAACAACACCAGAGGGTTAAAATATACATTAAAAAGAAGTCTTATTTTTAGCATTTATTTTCACCATGCTGTGCCATGCCATTTTGAATATTGCCTTTTATGCAGTGTGTAATGTAGCTGTATGTAAATGTAAACAATCTGCAAAGTTGTAAAGCTGAAAGTGCACGATAAATAAAGCTATTGTCTCCCAAAAGAAAGAATTGACTCTGAACAGCCTAAACGAGTCGTCAGTAATTTGAATCCCACTTCCGTGACGGCTACACGTCACGGGGTAACAGATTTGCATAATGCCCACCTATGTTCTACGTTGGTCGACTGCGAACAACTTGACCCACCCTCAAACACTGTAGCTTGTTCGTGTCAAGAACACACTGTGTCCTACTCTGTGAAAGCAAATTTGTTTTATTTTCACTTCCAAAAAATAAGGCTGCAAAGAATCTGTGGCTAAAACGGACGTATTTTTTGACCTTGCATGTATGTAAACCTATTGTAGGAGACTCCCAAAACAATATTAGGAAACCTAAAAATGGCATAATAGGTAAATAAGTAAAGTTCTGTTTTTAAATTAATTTTAAAATCAGAAAAATTATGGGGATTATCACATTTTAATAAAATTAAGGAATAAGAAAAAAATATTTTTTAAAAGTTCCAGTGTCAAAATTATATCATAAGTGAAGCAAATATTAATTAACTATATATCATAGACTATTCTTCTGTGAATCACAAAAGAAAATATTTTAAGGATCGTTGGGGTCCAACATTCAACTTTTTTCCCCCAAAATTATATTTTTTTGCATTTTTACAGAAGAAAAGCAGTCATGCAAAATGAGGTTAATAGACATTTGTATTATCACCCTCTAGTGGCACCTTTACTTTATGGTAATGTGGAGTTGAAGGTTTAAGAACATGCTGCAACAGAAGCTAAAACTAAATATTATTTAGTTTAAGTTTTCTCAGTTATTTATTTATTTTTTTGCTTTTTTTGCTAACCTAGGTTTGGAATGACATAAGGGTGAGTACTGTAAATGATGACAGATTTTTCATTTTGTCTGAATTATCCTTTTAAGGTACTCAGTCATGACTTTCACGGTATAAGACTGACATAAAGAGTCCGTAGTTGGGGATCCGCATGTGTCAAAATGACACAACAGTGAGCCTGTAAAATGAAGTGCTGTGTGAAACCATAGTGTCCCATTGAGTTCTCCTAGGTTTGTGCTTATATTTAAGGACAGCAGGGCAATTTTCATCCTTCACTATCCATCTCCATCTCAGCAGGATGGACTTGTAAATGAACAAGCAGACATTTTGTGCTGGAAACTGTCTGTTCACTCTGACACACCATGTAACAAAACCGCTTTAGATCCAGCTGAGTTCCCCCGGCAGGACTGTGTCAAGGGATTTGCCAGGTCACAGAGCTGAGCAAAATGGCTGCCTGAGTTTGACTAATGTGCTCCAGGAGCCCGCTCTCTTTGCCCAGGAGTTTTGGGTGGCTGAAATTCATTAAAGAGCAGAATCCATAAACTACAATTGTTGGACATAACAGGGCCCACATTTCCCATTTCGCTTTCCTGTTTGTACTGAAATACACAGATAAAATCATGTGCACACTTATATTTATACATACGTAGAGCTCCCATGACAATTTATAGCTCATTGACTTTGACAGCAAATCAATATCCTGCGCTATCTATTGTTACCTCATTCAATTAGGCCAATTCATAAAGCAGAACATAATGGAGCTAATGGAAAGTGCTATTAGGGGAATAGCGGCACCATTTAAGTCACGCACGGAACTACAAAAGTCAATTCGGCATTGCAATTGTGCATTTCCATCTGAATCGCTGGCCCTCAACCGTCGCTCATCCCGGATGAAGGGCGATGTTGACCTGATGCATTTTTACACTGACGGAGAGAGGTGAGCGAATGTCGCAAGCAATATTGTAAATCAAAAAACCAGAGGTACTTAAATGCGATTCATTGAGAGGCCAGCGTCTCCCCTTCACCACTTTGCGCAATCACATTTGCAATCTGCTTGATAAAGTGCGAGAGGGAGCGAGGGCAGGCGTTCAGTCGCAGACAAAGCCATAGATTGATGTGGAAACAGGAAACGTGCTGATTTCTGATTATTATGTGGTGGCAGGATGCTTTTGTCTCTCAGACTGTCATTCCAGCAGGTCAGTTCAGAGCCAGCAGGCTATTGTGACCATGCATGCTGATAAAACCCAACACAGATTGGTTGTTGGGTTGTTGTTGTTTTTTTAGGGGCAGCTGAATTCAATAGCACTGCAAGTGTTTAGATCTTTAAAGCGGGGCATTTAGAGAGCATGCGTATTGATTAATTGATTACAGATTTGTGAGAGCTTGCCCATTGGCCTACTCTGCAGTATTTTAAGAGTCGGAGGTTAATGGCTAAGTAAAAAAAACAGTGATTATAGTGATGGCTGCAGCACTTTAAATGGCCTCTGGTTTTATACTTCATGAATGTGGGACGCCAATTATATGGATATCAGAGCCTCGGCCACAAAACTTGCAGTGGAATTGGTGTCTTATGGAGAATGTTTCTATAACTTTCTATTGAAAGATATATTTAATAAGGGGATGGCTGTCATATGATACAGGAGCTCTAGTTGCCTTTAATTAGAAAGAGAAGCATTGCCAGCAGCCTTGGGATAGCACTCTGAGACTTCGCCCAATAACTGATTGTTTTTCGATTTCTTTCTTTCTCTTATTACAGGTATTGTGTGGCTCGCTGGCAGCAGGAAGGACTATGAGGGTGGCTGCCACCTGCACTGCAGAGCTCTGTAACTTTGGCAGATAGGATCATTATCCCCCTGTAAGACACCCTAAGAGCGGAAAAGATGAGGACTTGGATTGTACTTCTCCTGTGGGCATGTGCACACCAGAGTGTGAATGCAGTTGCCCTTTCAAGAGGGCCAGTTCGAAGGAAAACCAAAGAAATTGAAGGACGGCAAGACAAAGAGTTGCTCAGACGTTCAAAAAGAGGATGGATGTGGAGACAGTTTTTTCTGCAGGAGGAATACACAGGAACGGATCACCAGTACATTGGCAAGGTATGAGATTGTGTTTCTTTTCCACGGTATAAAGGTGGTGTGAGCAATGCTGGAGTAATGTTGATGGAGTCGATTGCAGAGGTAGATTTGGTTTCATCACTCCTTCTGATTCTGTCTTCTGAGGTTAATAAACAGAGAATGATCAAAACTGTGCCTATGTCATATGTAGGGATCTCCAACGTAGAGCCTGCTGGATTTGAGATAAGGAGCAGGATGAAATCTGACCTCCCTGGTACCTCACACTTCATCTGAAGCTCAGAGCTGCTCAGGATCAAAGATTAGAATAAAACATAACAGCTTGATACTGTTACTTATAGCAGAAGATCTCAAACTGTGGCCCTGAGTTGGTAGGCAACACAACTTAAAATGTACAATACTAAAAATATAAGGTTATCAGTTTAACCTGTTAATTATTTAAAATATTCTATTAAAAAACAATTTCTGTGTAAACAGAACAAGGGGGCACAAGAAGCATCACATTAGTGAAAAAATCGGACACAATCTTCAATATGTGAAATCGCACTAGTATTAAAAATCTGACCAATACAGATAAGTTGATCGTAATTTTCATTTTAAGGCTAATATGTCATATGTAGGGATCTCCAGCGTAGAGCCTGCTGGATTTGAGATAAGGAGCAGGATGAAATCTGACCTCCCTGGTACCTCACAATTCATCTGAAGCTCAGAGCTGCTCAGGATCAAAGATTAGAATAAAACATAACAGCTTGATACTGTTACTTATAGCAGAAGATCTCAAACTGTGGCCCTGAGTTGGTAGGCAACACAACTTAAAATGTACAATACTAAAAATATAAGGTTATCAGTTTAACCTGTTAATTATTTAAAATATTCTATTAAAAAACAATTTCTGTGTAAACAGAACAAGGGGGCACAAGAAGCATCACATTAGTGAAAAAATCTGACACAATCTTCAATATGTGAAATCGCACTAGTATTAAAAATCTGACCAATACAGATAAGTTGATCGTAATTTTCATTTTAAGGCTAAAATTATTGTAAAATATGAACATTTTATATTAATAAGAATACATTTAACTGTAATTCAATTATTAATTTTATTAAAGATTAGATGATGGCAAATGTAATATAAATGTAAAAATAGGGGAAACGAGCATTTCACAATAAATATCCAATATCAACATACCAAAATAAACAAATAAAAGTAATGGACAATAACCAACATACTACAGATATATTATGCATCCCTAAATATACACTAAAGTTCAAAATGTTTAAGGTAAGTGATTTTTTTATTTTGAAAGAAATTTGTACTTTTATTCATCAAGGACACATTAAACTGACAAAAAGTGACTTATTAGTAAAGACATTTATAATGTTACAAAAGATTTCTATTTCGAATAAATGCTCTTCTTTTGTACTCTCTAAAATCACATTTCCACAATAATATTAAGCAGCACAACTTTTCAGCATTGTTAATAAAAATAAATATCATTTGAGCACCAAATTAGCATATTAGAATGATTGGTCTCTAAAGGATCAAAAACATAAAAAAATGTTATTGATACTAAACATGGGTTTGAATACTATACAATATTGAGTATTAATGAGTTTTAATTGAATTGTAAAATTTGTATATTTACAACAATAGAACCTGAAATCCTTGAAGTTTGTATTGTAAATGCTGTTCTGCATAAGTCCTGTGAAGGAACTGATAAGAGATTATACAGGAATATTGATATTAATCAAAATATGGCACTCTCTTTTTTGCACAGTCCTTAAGCTTGCACTCCAGCGATGAGAATTTATTAGGTGGTACTTGGATGTTCTGATTTGATCAAAGGTACTTCTTGGCCTGAAAAGTCTGAGAATCACTGACTTGGAGACTCAAAAGCTTTGCAAAGGATCACCAACCACTGGATTATTCATGTGGGATGTTGTAAGTGCAGAATTCACAAAGCTCTCATTGTTGCTATGGACATTATGTGTCTGGATCATGTAGCAGTCAATGTGGAGTAGAAGCAGCTATTTCTAAAATGTCCAGAGGGAAAATTATGAAGAGCAAAAGAGCCATTGTGTTTCAATGGTCTTTTGTATTTTACTACCCTATTTTACTGTAACAAAGCAGCTCATTCAAGTGGAAAGAAATTCACTCACTCCTCTTATCAGATGTCATTGTCAAAGCTAATCACATCACACCTTCAGCTCTGAAGTGTGATGTTCCTATCAATCAATTCAGTCATTTCTTCTAACAATAGTAAATATCACAAATTCAAAACAGTTAGACACATCTTTGAAAGACGAGAAGCAGAAAAGTTTGATTTGCCTTTTGAATATCAGACAAAAGTGGTTGCACCGAGAGATACCATGTGGCAGCATCACTGTTAGTAATAGACGTGCATTCACCTTGATTGCACATTCAGCATGTTGTACTTTCATCTGATATGCCATCAGAATTCAATTCCACAAGGACTCATTTTCACATATTTACCATGGCGTACCTGTCTATTGCTACATTCCCCTGTAGTATTTCTTCATTGTTTTATTCCTTCAAAATCAACGGATATTGAATACATTCAGAATATTGAATGCAATACATATTCATGAGCCCTATCAACAGCAGAATGAGCGGAGGTGCTGATGAAATGCTTGAATTGCTTCCTCTCAACAGCTTCACTCAGATATGGATAGAGGAGACGGCACAGTTATGTACGTTCTCACAGGTGAAGGTGCGGGGACGATCTTTGTGATAGATGTCAACTCAGGAGATCTGCATGCTACCAGGAGCCTGGACAGAGAGGAGAAGCCTTTCTACGTGCTCCGAGCCCAGGCTGTCGACAAGAAGACCGGCCTCCCACTGGAGCCAGAGACTGAGTTTATTGTGAAACTACACGACATCAATGACAATGAGCCTAAGTTTGACAAGGAGGTTTATACAGCGTCCGTACCTGAGAGGTCACACATTGGTAAGATTCGGCAGCTTCAAAAACAAGCTTTGAAAGTTTTGCGAGCCCACATGAATTACAGTATATACATATTGCAGAAGTAATACAAAACAATATTGTATCATCATACTTTAGTATGTACTGTATATCATCATTTTAAGGAATAATAGAGTCCAAAATAATAATAATAATAATAATAGAGTCCATGCAGTTCAATTAATTGTGACTGGAGCTTTTTAAGCTTTAAAAAGTAAATGTAAATTTGGTCATTTTAGTCATTATTCACTGATAATCTTACCCTGGAAAATTGTTAACTGATGCAACTAGATTACTGAACCAGCGAGTTGAGCTTGAAAACCAAATCAGTCAGATTCATGAATGAATCATTCACGTTTTGCAAAAATTGGTTCAATTCATCTTTCAAATCTTTTTGTAGCTTGAAAGTTTCAGTCCGAATTCTTTAGTCATGGACAAGAGTAACAAGCTCATTCATATTCCCTCTTTTTGTTTTCCACTGAAGAACGAAAGTCATAACAAACATCATGTGAGTGACTACATAATGACAGATTTTTCGGGTTTATAGGTGAACACTTCCTTGAACTGATTTCTTGTTTTTCAGGCACCTATGTCACTCAAGTTACCGCCCAGGATGCAGATGATGAAATGTTTGGCTACAGTGCAAAGCTGGCCTACAGCATCAGTCAGGGTCATCCATACTTCTCAGTAGAGCCAAATACAGGTCAGTCCTGCTGAACTGTTATATCATAGACAGAGATGGCGAGATGAACAGAGAGACGCTGAGAGAGTGTGTGTATCTGTATAATTTGATGTGGGGCAAGGGTTGTACTGCAGCTCTGTCGTTCAAGCATTTTAGCCGAGCAAATTCACCCAGCGAGCTTAATCATTGCTAATGTGTGCCCTGGAACATTTCCCGCAGAGGTCTTTGTTTAAACAAAAGAGAAATAGAAACACAAAAGCTCCCATGGCAGATTAGTGTCCATCTTAACACTGATATGCTTTAGCCCAGATGGGACACGAACGATGATGCCCATGAGCACATGAAATCCCAAGACCGAAAAAAGGGATATTCATTAGAGGTGGGGGTTAATCTGGGAACATTTGTGCCATTCAAAGAAGCAGCAGGGCCTGGGTTCTTCTCTACATGATGGATTTGCCTTTCGCCTTTTTTGGGTCTGACATCAGGCGATTTACGTTCAAAGTCAACGTGAATCACTGTTTGAAGGCCGTTTTACTTCTGTAATGTGATGTAACAGGAGTTTCAATGAGAAAAAAATTAGGATGGGACTGAGGGCGTTACAAACCAAAAAGTGAGATTACTAAACAATCCCTCAATCCCATAAAAGATATGTGGCTATTGGTTAACATTATCCAGTAGCTTCCGTTTTCCTAGAGTTAAAAAACATGTGCAATGATCACAAACATTTACAATAACAAAAGAAATTTGGTAACACTTTACAATGAGGTTCCATTAGTTAATGTTAGTTGATGTAATAACTAACATGAATAAACAATGAACAATACATTTATTACAGTATTTATTAATCTGTATTAAGCATAATTTATTTTGAATGTTTACTTTTCATACCTGTACATTATGTCTTGTATGATATTGTATTTCTTTCTGTGGGAAAAAAATACTTCGCTTATTTTGGTTCAAAACTGTCAAGCAAGTCCAACGCTTTCTTACTCTGAAATTGCTTGCGATCAAATTGGTTTAGCTTGTAAAACACCACTTTTAATAATCCAAGGTCTTGTTTCTTCAGAACCCGCAGCGATCAACTTGCTCTCAATCAGTAGCTGCTGCGTATAATAATCTCTGCGGCAAAATGTCAGTCTCAATGCATGTACAGTTCTGCACTGTTCAAACACAACCAAGACTCAGCTGCCACCGCGATCTAGTGTCGTCCATCTCCTAAAGTAAAGAACTGGGCTGGATCGGATGTCATCGAATTAAAATAAACCATCTTTCTCTCAGGTATAATCCGGACAGCTTTGGGACCTTCCGATATGGACAGAGAGCAGAGGGAGCACTACCAGGTGGTGATCGAAGCCAAGGACATGGCCGGCCAGAAGGGGGGCTTAACAGGCTCCACCACAGTAAACATTAGCCTCACTGATGTCAACGATAACCCCCCTCGTTTCACGCAGAGTAAGCATGCATTCAGTAGATAGAAAAATATGTAAGTAAATGCATAAATATCCTCAGTCTGACATTTGCACAAGACATTTGTTCCATAATTCTAAAGATTCCTGATAGGATTCATGCAAATAACAAGAAATACAATACAGAAACTTCAAAAAACAAAGACAGATACACTTTTTTTATCTTTATGTGAAGGAAAATGGTTAGTGGCAAAGCTTTAGCAACTGCGTAAGGTCTGTGTGTTAATCCTGATTAAATGGACAGAGTGGGCTCAGCTCACTTACTCTTTTGTGTTTCTCTTAATGCAATCTATTATTTTAGCCTGCATGCAAATAGAAAATGCTTTATTATCACTGTCAAATGCGCCCTAATGATAAGGCTGATTCAGACGGCTCAGGAGGACTATAAATGGATGTTGTTGTTTTTTTTCCTCCGGAGACCACAGTAAATAAGAACGAAGAATGGAGGCACAATTAAAAAGCCCTCTGCAGCACAGAACAGGACTTCAGGGCTGGTAATTATCAGGGACATCAGAAGCACGAGCAACACTGTCGCTCTGAACATCAGGAGGCTAATTAGGAAACGGGTTTGAGACTTTAGTCTTTGCAACTTTAGGGATCTTATTTATTCACAAACAGCTTTTAACACTCCAAAGAGAAAGGAAAACTTGAAATCGCATCATATGACCCCTTTAAAAGACCCAATTTCATTCAAAATGTGTAGTGACATTGTTTTACCTTTTGACACATGACATGTTTTGTCATGCTAAAATGCAATTTAAAAGTAGTTCATTACTGGTAGACCTATTTGAAAAAAAAAAACAAAAAAAAAAAACTTAACTGTTGAAAACATATTGAAAACATACTGTTGACAATTGAGCTAAACGGTTTGAATTACAGGTACTCCATTGATCGGCACACAGATGTTGACCGGATTTTTGATGTCTATGCTGGGAATGGATCTATATTCCTGCAGAGGCCTCTGGACCGAGAAGAATTAGCTTGGCACAACATCTCAGTGATCGCAACAGAGTTCAGTAAGTAACTCCACATGGCTCACAGACGCAGTTCATTTGGAATGAATTTAGGCTGATAAACTCAAGTAATCCAGCATAAAATTTCTCCAATGAGATTTACGCATTTTCATTTACCATGACAGCTTATGTTGACTAAATATATTAGTTTACTTTTTTAAATTAGAAATCCAGTTTCCTCCTGTGACTCCAATAACATGAGTTTCTATCATCTCAAGTAGTCAACCATCATCTGTCACATCTTTTTAAGGACACTTAGACAACCCCGAGCAGACCAGCCGAGTGCCTGTGTACATCCGCGTACTGGATGTCAACGATAACCCCCCCATGTTGGCATCCTTCTACGAGACCTTTGTCTGTGAAAACGCCAAAGCCGGGCAGGTAAAGAGCATTTTAGTATACGTTTCCCATTTTATCTGCCACATTGTCAGTTTCGATGTAAGATAAGGGGGGAAAAGTCCACTTCTCCTGTTCGGCCAGTGGATGGATGTGTCGATTTAAAGCAGGGGCGTCTGTTAAACAGTGTGTGACCTCTACAGAACTCACACTTCCGGAGTGAGATAGAGATCAGTGATGAGTATTTCTCCTTCATGGATTAGACGGCAGAGCCTTTTTCTGTCAGGCTTGATGAGATTATGTGTCATGGTGGATGACAGGGGCTGTCACATATCACAGGCACTTCATAATAACTGTCCACCTCTCCTCCATTTCCTGACTCTTCCTGTATCCTTTGTTGTCCTTCATCACCCACCTCACTGACCCGCCCACCTCAGCGCCTTGTTCAGCCTGGTATGTGCCATGGTTTAGTTATTACTGGGTACAAAATAACTGTTTATTAAGAACATACTTTACCTAGGGTAAAGTCAATCAAAATAAATAAATAATTTTTAAAAGTTTGAAAAATTGATGTATAAAATAAATATATATATATTTCCGTCTTGATTTCCAGTGAAAATGTCAGAACATCCTTCTCAATTTACTTGAGAAGCAAAATTTCAGAAGATATTAAGTGCTGCAATTTGTTTCTTATTTTAAGTGTAAATCTAACACAATTTAATGAGATTTATGTTCAAAACAAGAATAAACAATCAAAAAAATAAAATAAATAAATCATAGTAATTTACCTGCAACACCACAGAGAATAAGTGATTTGGAAAATGGATGAATGGATGGATAATAATCTAATATCTATTCTCTAAAAAAGTCTTATTATTATATAAACAATTTTTTTACAGAAACAACCACATATGCTATCAACTACATATATCAAAAGCATAAATATACAGTGGGTACGGAAAGTATTCAGACCCCCTTAAATTTTTCACTCTTTGTTATATTGCAGCCATTTGCTAAAATCATTTAAGTTAATTTTTTTTCCTCATTAATGTACACACAGCGTATTGTATAGTATAGTATAGAGGTTGGCAAACGCATCGGCAAGCTCAGCTGCACTTTTTTTCCTGATAACAGCAAAAAGAACTGACAATGCTCTGTCAAAGAGTAACATATCATTAAACAATTTGTGTCTACCATTTAAGTACGTTTAGGTAAAAGAGAGTTACAAAACAGCAGACTTGTGTGGCAGTGCTGTTACTTGCATGATGAAACTAAAGAATTATTCATTATTATGGTGTTTATTAACTATATTTAAGCGACGGCAGTGTGAGATAAGGCTAGGATTTTGGTTCTCTTCAGCAGTTATATTCTAACAGACTGCAGTAAAGCCCAGAGGAAAGGGAAGCCAGCCAGCAACACAAGAAATCTGGCCAGGACGTAAGCCTGGTAGAGAAAAAACACAAAGCACACAATGGATGATTACATTTTTGTCACAGGGTGTTGCCAGTGCACCCTTGAGAGATGCTTTTAAACTAAAATTGTCCTTGGTGATAACTAAAGATAACCACGAGCCTCTATCACTGAGCCAACATCTTTCCTCGCTGTAAACATGCTTATAGTGTTTACATGTAAACACTTGTAAGGTCTGAAAGATGACACTGTGAATGGGTCATTCCTATTATGCAGTACCTTTCTAGCTCTGTACCTAAATACAAATGAATTAATATGCTTTTTTTTAAGTAATATTGTATGTGCAGAATTATGTGATGGTCAAGCTCATAAATTCAAAAGGGAGACAATAAAAAAAACAGGATGGAAATGAAAAACAAAACAATATCCCTAGAAAGTATGTTTTTGTTGAAATGTTTCCATTAGGAAAAAAAATAATAATAATAATTTTTAAAAAACATTTGTTTTTCTGCTACATTTATTAATAAAACATTCATATCGTCATGTAACTAAACAGCATGTGTAATTGATTAATTTAATAAAAAT